CTCACTGCAAGTATCATTTTGTTGAGTGAGGGATACTTTTCACCGTTAGAACCTAATATCCTGGGTTCATAGTGGCCGTTTCTGCGATCATTTATGTATGTTGAGAAGGGGTTGGCCTAATTAGCTTCACCATTGTTTCTGGGTTTTTCCATGAACTGCCAACTGTAGCAACCCAGAGAGAAAAACTGACAGCCCTCTTTGTTAGTCTGTACTTTCTGTTTATCTATCTCCCAATGCAAAGACAGTGGAATGACATTTTGGACAGCTACCAGTAAAAGACTTTCAAATAGAGGTTTCAGGGTGGATTGTGTCTCAGGATAGGTCTTACATTGTTGGCTAATTATATCCCTCAAAACATCCTTGAACTGGAAAATGGACCTTGTATACGACTCCTGTCCAAGGCTGTCTTTAAGGTGGCCATTAAGGGTGTATTCAGTCCTGTCTACAAGTCTCCATCTACTCCATTCAGCCGCCTTTCCACTTAAAACTAACCACCCCTTAATCATCATCTCCCTTTCTTTGGAACCCTTTATTCCTCCTCCTCATCATCAGTCTGCATCCACCCACTGGCACTTGAGCGCTGCCAGCCTCAGCCAGGCTGCGTGTCTTGTTTCTGTGAGGCTGAAGGACTCCTCAGCTCTGATGCTAAAGGTGTCTGATTAAATCTCCAGTAATATTCCATTTACTGCAGCTTTGCAAACAAACACCGCTGCTCAGGGAAGGGAGGACTGCTGTTGGGAAGATTTACTGAAAAATATATAAAGTGAACAAGGACATGTTGCAAAAAAATGAAATCATCAGCTGTGTTTATCATGTGCAGAAGATCCAAGATACAGGAAATCCATAGACGGCCACTTAGGTATAACCAACGCCTTTTCATGACAGCAATCAATATCTGACTTTTTTTTCCTGCTGAAGTAGAAAGTTTAATGCCCCTGGGAGAACAGCAGCCCATTCATAATGCAGCATGAAATGTCATTTTAAATGCCTTTTTTTTGCCTTACAAATACAATTCAAGACTATTTTTACGGAAAAAGAGGCTTTTTCTTTTATATGGAAACCCAGCCTATTTTCATTCCCATCCTCATGGTCAAACACAACATTACATGGTGAAGGTGCTCTTCCATCATCATTGTTAAAACAGCCCTCAGGCCTCATGTTTTAATTCCTGTGTGAAACCAGTACACAATGTTTACACTCCTTTTTTGAAGCTGACTCTGTTTTTGTAGCTTCTAATGTAACCTAAAATCTTAGTATTTGGTATGCTTAAATATGAAAACACTGTATCCTGTTTAGCAATATTTTTACATATCCCAAACTCAAATGTTTCTTATCATGCTTATCAAGGCTTTAAAAACATTTCTAACCAGGCATCGGCAGCTGTTGCTCAGTTGGTAGAGTTGGTTGGGGGTTTGATCCCCAGCTCTTGCAGCCACATGTCCGATGTGTCCTTGGGCAAGACACTTAACCCCAAGTTGCTCCTGCTGCTTCATATGAATGTGTATGAATGGGATTAGTTACTTGATGGTCTCTTTACATAGGAGCCACCGCCATCAGTGTGTGAATGGTTGGGTGTGACATGCGGTGTAAAAACACTGAGTAGTCAGAAGACTAGAAAAGCGCTATATAGCTCAAGTCCATTTACCATTAGAAATGATATAGCTGTATCTTAACTGGTGAGCCTGGCATGTGAAAACTGACTTCTTTGCTTGCAAGTTCGGAGTGAGAATATGTTGCCATATAGCATATTATTGTATAGACTAGCAATGACAATTGCCTTTGCATTTTTTTCTTTTACTGACAGTGTGAACAAGCTCTTTAATGTTCTGAATTACATCTTGTACAACATGGCTAAGACTCTAAATAGCCGTGCTAGCAGCTCTGAAAAGCTGTAGGAAATGCATCATGAGACTCTCAAAGCTCTGTTTCATCAGGACTTTAACAAAGTGTGTGCTCAAATGCCAACCTCAACATACTAACATGTTAACAATGCTCACATATTGTTGCTGACAGATACAATGTTTCACATGTTCTCAGTTTGTAAAGCAGCTTTTTAAACAATTATTAATAAGCACAATTCATAAACAATACAATGTATCTTGAGGGGAGCATTGATGTCTTTGTCAAATGATTCTTGATAGAGTTGTGTGGAATGTGGACCGAAGCTTGTGAGCAAACTGACTGACAAGACTATTGTGCTTTGACTTAAACTCATCAAGAGGGGAAAAAAGAAAAAAAACTTTAGTTTAATTCTTGGTTGACAACTGATTTCTGTAAAGTGCCGAAAAAAACACAGCTATGAAGAGCTTAAAAGGGAGGCATTATAAAAATGAAAAAGACAGCTTTAAAAGTGAAAAGGGAAATTACTGTGGCATATCTGACATTATTTTATTACATAAGGCTAGAACTAAAATTATTTCATTAAACCAGGGTTGAATGAAGATGATTTAGCCTGAAATAAAGAGGGAAAGTGCTTCTCCATGTTTTAAACTCGACGCAGGAGCCAAACCTCGCATCTAGCTGTTGGACGCTCATCAGAAGAGACAACAGGGCTCTCAGCAGACAGCAGCACTTCCTGCATCTTGCCTTTTTAAAGCCGCATCAGTCAGCTGCAGCAAGATGCATGATTATGTCCCTGCTGCAGCAGCCTGTAATCATGTGTGGAAACAGTCAGTGTACAGGAGGAGAATTGCAGACATATTGTTTCATTCATATACATTTTACTTATTGTTTAGAACGTCACGTGCCAAGTAAACATTATGATCAAAAACAAAAGCATTATATCCAGCCTTAAACTATAAATCCTTCTCTAGATTTATATAAAACCATTTCCATCCCTTTTTGTTATTTTAAAATGAGATATTCCAGTAAAACGTCTACTTTAAGTTTTACCAATTGTCATTGTTTGCTCATGTTTGGTTAGTTTATTCCTTGGTTTGTTGCTTAGTTGTCATTTCCTGTCTTAATTGTTATTTTTGTTATTTTTATTGAATTTACATTTTTCCTGTTTTATTTTGCCATTTCACCCTCCTTGTGTTCCTGTTGTCCCAGGCTCTTCCCGAATAGCCACAGTTCAGTAGGTAGTACGTACTTTTCAGTAGGGAGTTTCAGTATACTGAACTTTTAGTGATCATTCAGTAAGCATTTTTTGGGTCCACCTCAGTATACTGAACATTTCAGTATGGATACTAACTTCCGAGTTTCATGCAGTATGGATCGGATGTGTGCTTTCAGGAAATTAATTGTATTTTACCACCCACAATGCTGTGCGAAAGTAAACATAAAATCATCACGTCACGTCCTCCTCCAAATCAAAACAAACGAGCGTGGATTAATTGAATCAATTTTGAATCTAGAGTTAAAGTCCCGACTGAAATCGCTACTTTAAATTAACAACAGAAAATAAAACAAATGTCTGCATTATTATAAAACCTTTCCCCCTCTATTTAAATAATGATTTTACTCTTTAAATGCATCTTTATTGGTTTATTTTATATTCTGTATATTACTGTCTTTCATTTGTACTTTTCTTTATGTAGGCTACTCTATGTTATTTAATCTGTCTTATACTTGCTTTTCTTACCTGACTGTATATGAGCATTACTCTTCTTGAATAAAGCTAAACAAAAAAAAAAAACGGGTGGATGAAGCCGGTTCGCGTAACATAAATTAATGAATCAGACGAAGTAGGAACAAATATCTGCCTACTGAATAGTAAAGTATAGTACAAAATATAGTACTAAACAGTATACAGCACGGATAGTAGGTACTGTCTACTGCCTACTGACAGATTGAGTAGGTACTTGACAATTCGGATACAGCCCTTGTGTGTTTCTTTACTGTAACATTTTGAAGTGAAGTGTCTCCTCTTTTATTTGTTTGCCTCCCTATTTGATTGCCTTCATCAGTTTCACCTGTGTCTTGTCTGTCACACCTGTGTTTGATTACCCTGTCAATTTGTTTTCCTCCCTTCTGTGTCAGTTCATGATCAGACTTTCCATGCTGTTCCTGTAGTCTATTGCTGATTTTCTTTGCTACTTCTTGTCTTTTTTTATCTGTTTCATGGACTTTTCAGTTGGGACATTTTTGTTTATTGTGCACTTTGAAATTAGTTATCTTTAGTTGTATTACCTTTTTGTTAAATCATTTGTTTGGGTTTTGTCTGCACTTGGGACCTCCTCTACATTTGTTTTTGAATGCGAACATGACACCAATATTTATTTAACTATGGCCAGTCCATCTTTTTCCGTATCCAAGTTTTTTTTTTTTTTTGTCTTTGTAAAGATGACCATATTTAGACCAAATGGAAACAAAATCTCTTATATGTAGTTGACAAATAACATGGCAGCAACTCATCAATCACAGACACCCACACCCTTCAAAGCATATTCAGCTATATTTTCGATTGAACTCTAAATGGGAATGAACATCATGCTTTACTGAAGACTTGAAAATACCAAGAGGGGCCAGAAAATGATTAGAAACAAAAAGGGTTTCTCAGGTTACACATCACCTGAGAAGTCGTATTCCTCACTGCTGGTCATTAAAAAAATAATTATTAATATGCAGTCTATCACAGGGAGAGCATTATAACGATGGGCCTGGTATATGTAGTTTCTATACAGATGGACTGTGTATGAACTGGTTAGTAATGATTGAAAAATAACATAAATGAATTCCATCATTTCTCACTTCATTCTGTATTGAATGCTAAGCGCCTCTCATGGCACATATGTTTATTAGTTAAGCTAATGCTGTTTTGTATAACTAACCCAAATTTGCGGCGATTAAATGAGTACTGTAATGACTCAGTCTCCCCACAGGGATCAATAAAGTTTCACCTCATCTCATCTCATCTATCATATCATATCAGCTAATTGGTGGTATTGTTTATTGCCACACTTTACACACACAAACACACGCTTTAAGTGAGCCTTGATGTGTCTTCTTTGAACGCAGTGAAGTGACTTCATGTCATGTTTGTCTCTGTTTCCCTGCAGGTCCATGTTGGCACCTCCCATCAGGAACAAAGGGTTGTGGGATATCTCACGTGTACGCATCTCCATGCCATTGAAGGTACAGTCTTATGTTTTACAGCTGCAGCCCTGACTTTCCCTCTGTCCTTTCGTATCAGAAACACACACACATGCACACAGATTGATAGGATTTAATTTTGGCCTTTTGCTTTTTTTCCAATGCCGGTTTAAATTAGGAGTGTAGAACATCTGAGCTATCTGTGTTTGTCTTGGTGATTATCTCTCTCCGGAACAGCCAGACAGCTACGGCCATCCAGCTTTCCACACAGTGCCCAGTGTTTGTGTAAGTGTGTGTTTGCATGTCCAGATAGCTAGATAAATGGGCACATCAAAACCTGTGTGTGCCCCATCCTGCTGTTCCCATGGTGACCTGCTCAAGCTGTTTAAGGCGTCACAGCCCTATATAAAGCCTCTGGTTGATGCCTCCCTCATTTTTTACCAAAGACACGTCTCCCCCTTCTTGTGCTATTCTGGGCTCCTCCCACGCTTCTCTCTGGTCTAAATATAGCAGTGCTTGGGCTGTTTCTAAAGATACATCAAACACAAAGCCTTTGGGGGAATGGGGGTAGTAGGGGCAAGACAGCCAGAACCGGTCTGAAAATAGGGGATGGAGCACAGAGACCTGATTCTTTTCTAAGAGAAAGGAGTAGTTGTGCGTGAGGATTCACTAGCTTTGCTTGATTGTAAGATTATGTGATGCAGTTTGATTGACTAAATGCAGAACAAACACTGTACTCTGATTGGTCAATTAGTACTTTGATTACAAAGTGGTTTTCATGTACTGTATGCTGTTCTCCACCCAAGCAAAAACATATAAATATATATTGCAACATAGCAGGGAAAATAAAATGTAATGGTCAGGTTTTCAAAATATCTAGAGGAAATGTAATGTGTCCAAAAGGGTTTCATATCGCTGGTATAGTATTGATGAGTGACAGAGTATACATATTTATTGAAAAGAACACCAACAGCAAAATGTGACTTGAATTAGCCATTTGGCATCAATGCACCTTTTGGTGTTCTTAAAATATCACTGGATGTCCTAATGATTTACTAAAAGACTGATGCTGTGTTGTAGTTGTTTATGTGATGTAGTTGTTTTTGAACATTTGATATTTACAGCTACACTTGGGAGAATGGGTTTCTTTTTTGTTTCTACATGACGTTTGATCAGGGGCGTTTCTAGAGGAGTGGCATCGGTCCTCCTTGAAATCTTACTGGCCACCCAAAATGTCTTATCACTTGCCTTGCCAGAGGTGTGACATATGTTAAAATCAACCATTCAGGCTGTGTTGCAACATGCAGCTCATATTTGTCAGTGTGCAGATATTTGTTGGTATTTTGTAAAATACATTAAATTGTGACTTTTGACGTTTTTGCCGTTGTTTTGTTTAAGCCCTTGAAGAATTACGTTTAGAAGATGTATATGTTGCCATTGTATTGTGTTCCTTAAAGTCGATGTGATTAGTACAGACAGAAGGAGTTGATAAATGCTCTTTATTTATGTGTGTGCCCCCAAAATTGAGGCCATCCCTGCACAAGTCAGGGCCGTTGTTGGGCCAACCCAGTCAAAAAAGTCTGGACGCCCCTGACTTTAATTGTAAATAATGTCAGTGAGAGAGCAGCTTTTCATTTAGGAAAACCATGAAACTAAAGTCATTTTCATTTATTTAATAATTATTTAATCAGGTCCAACTTATTTGGAGCAACAGGAAGTTGGTGGCATAGGTGGTGGGAACACACAGTTCTTACCATAAACAAACATAAATATAATCCTATAACAATCAGTCATCCCTTCATATCGTCATCACGGTTTGTCTGCCTCGTCATTTCATTTTGGACAGTTGTTCATTTTTGGATAGTTAAAGACCCTTCCTTACACAATGTAATGTGACTAAAAGTATGGTTTAGAAGTTTGGACATAGATATGGGTCACTACACCATGTCTATTAATGTATTTTAAGAGTTCTTAGATCTTTTGGACACAATGCAAACCATTCACAAAGTTTAAATTACAACTGTAAAGGTAAATGAACTTGAGCTTGTGAATCACTTTTCTTGTCTTCAGACTATTCAAAGTGCTTTTTACAAAGAAAGTCACACTGACCCATTCACACACTGATGGCAGAGGTTGCCTTGTATGTAAAGTGTCCATCAGTATTAACTAATTCAATCATACCAATCCACACACCACAGACAAAGCAGCGGGAGTAAGATGGTATGGCTTATTTGGAGGACCTTTCCAACTAAACCATGTGATCTGATCTGATAGGGAATATGACTGCACAACTAATCAAACTTATTACATAAGTAAAATGCACGTACAAATTATCATATTGTTTAGTCAAAACATCATCCAAGGTTTCTCACACCAACAGAAAGCTTAACTTAACTTAGCTTAACACAGACATAAACACACATAAACACACATGCAGGAAAATGTACAAAAACGGTGCCCCCGCATCTTCAACCTTTCTTCATTTCTTCTTCTCTAACTGATGCAGGAACAAAAACAGAAAAAAAAAATACATTTCATTTCACATGTACTCGAGCTGAAGCTGAGAGTAATCAAAGCCAAAGCCACCTACTCACCCACCAACATCTTGACACCTCTTTGTTTCTCACACTCTCCACAATTCAGCTGTTATTTCTCCCTCACACATTCTCACATACCGCCTCCCTCCAGTCGCCTCCTCCCCCCTCCCTCCAGCTCTTATTTTTCAGATTTACTGGCAGCAGAGACCAAGACGAAAACACTGCCAAAGCAAAAACAGCACCAAAAGTGACATAAAATTGTGTCACCAATATTAGTAACATAATAAATCTGCTCAGTAGAGTAAGTCAGTTCAATGAGACACAGTTCTGTGCAGTTTGTTCTGATAACATGTGAAAGAACAACATGTTAAACTCTGTGTAGTAAAAGGATGAAACTCATTCACTGCTTGGGTCTGGGGGAAAGAGTGAACGGTGTGGGGATTTATTAGAACTTTTGCTGAGAACAGACTCCTGCTGCTGCTGCTGCTGGAGCAACAATGATGAAACACATCTGTAAAGTTACAGACCTGGGAAAGAGCAGAGATGCTAAGACACTCATTGAAATATGCCGCAATGGTTGATAGTTCTCTGTGGTTTTGAACATTTGAACATCATTACTATGAGATTTTACCCATCTCAAATAACATGGTCATTTGTGCCATTGCAAAAAGATAAATATTGACCAAGTTATCGAGTTATTTTACCAGAATCCCACTGTGATGTCACAAGAAGAGCAAATTTGAAACAGAGCACTTTCCTCTGTGTCGTAAGACTTCTGCAGACTACAAACACAAGACTGGATGGGTTTATTTCACATTTTATGCATCGGTAGACACTCAGGTTACCCAAATATATGTTCAAAAACACTGTAAAAGTGGATTTTTCATAATATGTCCCCTTTAAAATATCAGTAATGTGTGTTTATGGAATAAGATTAACAGTCATTACACCTGCATTAGACAGTAATTCTTTCAAGTTTTTTATTCAGGTCATATTCTGACAGATTATGATATTAGTGACTTCAGTGTTCTAAGTATATGAGCTGATGTTTGTTGAAGTTCTCAGATTCACAAATCAAGGACTGCAGTGGCTGATAGCACCTCAAATTGTTCATCACTTGTTGCTGCTCTCTGCCTGCTCAAGGTTTATTTCAAAATCATATAGCGCTAATGAGACTCAAGTGACAACACAAACGTTTTGCACCGCTCTTATTTTGCATAATGATTATGGAGACGAGCTATCAGCGCCTCAGCTATTGCATGCAGAGTTCAGTTACGCAGCACAGATGGATGATGAGTTTGCGTTAATGGCGAAGTGCAGAAATGGTCGATTCAAAATTGGTTCGCATTTCCACCACCAAATGTATGCATATTATTTGATTTAAATGCAAACTGCACCAGGAGGACATTTGCTCTGCAGCACATTTAAAGGCATTTAGCCTTTCACAGACGCTCTGAGAATCACTATTTATTTTGCCACATTTTTACGGGCTTGTAAAAGCTGCAAAGTTAAGTTGTATGGAATTGAATCGAATGCTGTATAGATAGATTTATTTTTACTGGACTTTTATCGTATAAGATCGTAGCCTTTGGTTTCAGATCAGAGAGGACTGGATTTGATCAGTGCACTGGACTTTTGTTTTCTGTATCATTTTGTGTCTTCTTAAGCAGTATTAAACACTGTCTTAAATTGTATTACACCTTATTGCCTCATTGGTGTTTAGATAGTTAAATATGAAAGTAGATAGACCCTACAATAATAAAATATGCTGTAAGGTCTTTCATCACATTGCCTGTTCCTCTACCGCCTTCCTTAGTTTCTTTCAGAAAAGCTTTGGTGACTTTACTACAAACACTCTGATTCACTCCCTTTCTCTCGTGTTTCCCTTCTCTAACACACACACACACACACACACACACACACACACACACACACACTGCTCTGTCTAACAGGTGATGCATCAGTACGTTGTGAGCAGCTCGACCTGCTGCTCCAATGGGGGGCTGAGTTTCGCCAAACCTCGTCCCAACCACCTGAAGGAGAGAAGGTTCTGGAAGACCTGGTGGCCTTTGATGTCATCCTGGGAGACCTCAACTTTGATAACTGCTCCTCAGGTACGCAGCTGTCGGATCTAATCTGCCCGTTCTGTTATATGCCAAGCATGTTGAAGGCTTCATTTCTTAATTTATCATACAAAGACCAGAAGCACCAACATCTAGCGATAGGGTAACTCTATAGAAGTAGAAATCCTCCTATAGCTGTGAAACAGAGTAGCTTCATAGTGATTGTCTTTTTCCAGATGAAACTTATGAATTATTTATATATTTAGCTACGACGTAAAGGGCTGAAGGTGAAATGCACTTGAAACAAATCACTCCTCAATAATCTATTTTAGATTAATTCCCACTAAGTTAACTATTTTCAATATTCTCATCAATCTAAATGTAAGCATGAAGCACAGCTCTTCTCAGTAAACTATTCATTCATTTATTCACAAATTTTCATGGTTACCTGAAAGTGAAACTAGTTTTATTGTTGTGCAACTCAAAGGGACTGAATGTGAAATTGGCCATATTAAGTGAACTATCACACACACTTTTTATTGTGTATGTCTGCTTTTACTAAAGCATTGTTGATTTAAATTGCATGCTAATACAAAGTACAAGAGTCTCCAGTCCTCCAAGCAGGCAGCCCGGGTTTGAATCCGAATTTTGGCTCCTTTCCCACATGTCAGTCCCCACGCTCGCTTTGATTTCTGACTCTATCCACTGTCCTGTCTCTACAATGAAGGCATGAAAGCCAAAAAATAAATCTTTAAAAAGATATTCTAGACTTTGTTCAATTTTCATTATTAAACTTTGTTTTCCATCTACAGAGATACAAAAGCACAAGAAGGAGAAAAAATATTGATATGTTATTTTATCTTAGCTCCACATTTGGTTTCCAGATTCATGTCTTACTTATTTCTCTTTTTCCTGAGAAATTATTCCTGAAGAAATTGTGTAACAGAATCACCAGAAGTATCAAGAATTGTAATGTTTTACCACAACCTGTGACTCTGTCTAAAACTATACTGCATGTGTGCTCCTGTGTTTTTCCAGAGGACAAGCTGGAGCAGCAGCATGCACTTTTTACTCAGTACAAGGACCCATGTCGCCTGGGGCCAGGGGAGGACAAACCGTGGGCTCTGGGTAACAACACACACTCACATGCACACAAATCCACACAAGCACAGTCACAAGCGCCACTAAGGACACTACCACACGTCACATATCCTCTATTCTTCTAGCTCATTTACATCTGATTTATGCCAGCATTCAAAGAAGACATCTTTGAGTAAATACAAATACACACCACAAAGTAAGTAAAAAAACTGTTATATTACATAAGGAAATGCAGGTGTTACTACACACACAGCATCAATGGCTTAGAAAATGTGATGATCCATAGAGCGCCTGCCGAGCAGAGCGGACTATAATCTGGCTCTGTTGGGATAAATCAGGATGCACCCACAGTGTGAATTAAAATACACCCAATACAGCCTGCTGAGACATGGGCATTAGTGACGTAAGTACTGGAGGGTTTTGGTCTGGATGTGAAGTGTTATTTAGGCCAGCTGTATTTTTATGGGACAGTGTTGGCAGGACGTAGTGAAAGGGCTCGTTCAGAGGAGGGCTTATTTATTTGCACAGCGACATTTTAGGCAGCGAATCAGAGGAAAGATCTTTGCCCCCCGCTTGGTTTCTATTAGACAGGAGGGAGGCAAGAGAAAGGAAAGACTAGAAGAATGGATCAATGAATCAATGAGAGAAAGTGAGGACAGATTATCCCATTTCATAATGCCTTTCCAAAGGAGATTAGACCTAAATGAAGACAATAGAGGGACAAAATAATGCAGGCAGAGAACCAGGTGGACAGCTATTGTCCCATGTTGTCTGAGCTGTCTATTGTCTGTGTCCAGATAGATTTCATGAAACCATTGCAGAAACAGTTTGGACAGGCCAATCGCTTGTCCTACAGAAGTGCTGTTTGCAGCACTGCAGTATGGCTGTTTGCAGCTTGAGAATGGCTTATCTTATCGAGTTCACTAAACAATGCACTGCGTTGGGATCTCAGTTATACAACTGCCAAGCCTGAAGACAATCAGTACATTGAATATCAACACATGTGATTGAATTTCAAAAACAGAAGCACAGCCATTCCTTGGTTTATAGTTAGTTAAATCAGGAGAGACTAGTAAATGAACTAAAGATAAATATTCATTTTACATATATGACAATTAATTATTGTCAGAGAATCTATCCCCCCCTGGAGTCCAGACACTGGTGATGGAGGTGTTGGCTGATGATGTTGTCTCAGGCTGTGGTGTCTCTAAGCCCGAAAAGCAGAAATAGATGTCTCTGTCTTAGTGGGATCTTTGGCATTGGTAGGTGGCAATTTGTTTCACATAGGCAGGGCAATAGGAGCGGGCTGCAAGGCGTAGGCAGGCCACATGGTGTTCATCAGTCATTGTGGATCTGTAATTGGACTTGATGATTTTCACATGAGAGAAAGCAGACTCACACAAATAGGGTGATCCAAGAAGAGCTGTCAGGTTCAAGGCATATCTTCTAAAGGTGGGATACTTTTGTTCCAGCAGTAGGTTCCAGGACTCTCTGTTTATGCCAGGTGTTGCCCTGAATTTGATCTAAAAGTCATTTCGCAGTGTTAGAATCTCATTTTCAGCAGCAGAGCGATCCAGGTGGAACAGTAACGCTATTTTGGAAGCAATGTCATCTCCATCACTACTTGCACTAAATGGAAATAAACATAGCTGGCAACAGGCTCAATGGATGCAAAGTCAGTAGAAAAATTCTGACAATATGCACTTAACTTGTTCATCATAACGGGCAATTTCAAGCTGTGCAATGTCTTTTCCTTGACATACTTCTGCCTGCATGTGAGGAGAGTTCCGCAGGTCGTGCAGTCTTCTACAGCCACGAACAATGCTTCTATCACATCTTCCCTGGTCTTAAAAAACGCATTGTGTTAAGCTAGAACGTGACTTGATAGGATGCTATGGTTGCAGTGTTACCCTTGGTTAGTAGTAATATATATATATATATATATATATATATATATATATATATATATATATATTATAATAGTTAGTAATAAGTCTTTATAGATACACACTGAACAGGGGGGTTGAATTTTGTAATAACTTTCCCGATATGAGTTATGCATAGTTAGGGGCGTGACAGACTAGACTGTAAGCTGCAGCGTTGTTGGGGTTTAATAGATGGCTTAAGGCCTATCCCCACTCCAGCTCTTCACAAGAAACACATTGAAATGTCTCAAAATATTGTCAATACTTTTGGGGACACATACGAACATTGAGGTATCAGTATATCTGGTTTTGTCAACAGAGTAAACTGATTCCACTTTTACTTTTAGATCCCCTAAAAACAAAAATGTTTTTCAAATACTTATATTAAAATTGAACAAAATCCCACATCATACTTGTTACAGGTGTAGTAGCAGAGATGATTGAGGTCCATACAAGTTATTAAACCATAAGACCATCTAATGAAATTGATACTGTGTTCTATTATGACTTTTGCGACAGATTTGAGATCTTGCAGTTTAATGTGGACCTTCTTATGCTGTTTGGTTTTTAAAATAAAACACCCCTTGTTCCTTTTCCAATCATGTTAGACTTGCTTTCTTTAGAGAAACACTCAATAGATGTCAAGAGGAACCTGACAGGTTGGCAGACAAACCAGGGCTAAAATGCTAGTTGAAATTAAATATTGGTCCTGGTAGTGAGTAGCCTGTATGTCCAGTAACAACTGGCCATATGCATTCAGATGCATTTGATTTTATGGTTGGAAAAATCCCCTTGGTTCCAACGAAGTGAACTGCCACTGTTTGGGGAATACCCTATCCTGATTAAACATGAAAACACTTCCTGCACACAAAAACAAATCAGTCCTTTTCCACATAATTTTTGACAATCGTGTAAGCTGCTGCCTCAGCGACAAGACAGTAAAAGTCCCCACTTCTATTTAAGCATTTAAAAGCAGGCGAGAGAATTCACCTATCGTTAAGATGACAGAAAGTTTGATTGAGTGAGCATTTCAGATATGGCAGCTGCTATGGATAGGCTTCCAAAACAGCCCTTCAGAAACCAATGAGTGACGTAACTCAGGCTTGGTCCATTAATATTTACTATGGTCATTCCCCACTCTCACTCCCCGATTTCTAGCTTAATCCAATGTCCAATCAAATAAAGGCAAAAAAAGCCCATTGAAAAAGGTTCATTGCCAATTAATGATAGCTTTTTACCTCTTCCAAACAACTGGACACACTGTAAGTATGATCTTCAGACAGACATTGGCTGGTGGTTGGTTCTCGAGATCTGCCAAGGGCTGACACACTGACAGCCTGAGATCTTTTCCTTGATAGAAAAATATTTTGAACTCTGAGATCTCCAGGATTCTTCTGGTGCCAACCTCCAGACCAGCCACAGCTTGCAGAGCTTGTGCTGCTTCAAGTCTCATGGGAATTATGGCCGGCCTGGGAGCACTCGTATTCAAACAGCAGTGACATGGAAACACAGTCACACGATGGATGAAGTCCAAATTAAAGGTTCCAGTAAAGATCTCACACCATGGATCATCTCCACTCATAACTGAAATGGTTCTTTTTGGTGATGTCTTTGAGTTCATGTGTGAGGGCAGATTAAACATGTCAACCACAAACCAAAAACCCAGGAGAGTACACAGAGTGTGGCTTCCACCGTATTTTGGGGGTTGTGGTCAGAATTGGTGTGAAAGAACATTCATTTTCTTTCCCACACACACACACTAGAGCCTTTTGGTGATGCCGGGATTTATGAGGATAGTTAAACTGAGGTTATGTTAACCACCCAAAAGAGGGAATCCCATGTATATTGATGCTTTTCCAAACAAGCTGAAAGTCTGGGCAGCCAGTCTGTGCAGATGAGAGTGTCTGCACCACCATCTTTGTTTCAGTGATCTGAAAACCTGCTCTTAGACTTGTGAAAATAGCTGGCTGCCCATCAGACGCCTACTTTTTTATAAGAGCGATCAACATGAACACCAGCACTGAATTGAGAGTAACTCCAGAGTGCTGCGCTCTTCATATGGGGCATTTTAAACACATTATCCAGCCCACGGCCTCACCTCCTCATTGTCAGAAGGATCTCTAAGTGCATGTCTCTCTCTCTCTCTCTCTCTCTGGCTGTTTTATTTCTCCAGTTGATAACAGTGGAATAGTGGTCTGAGAATCATAGAGATATAAGCTCTCAGAACAAGGAGCATTCACATCCAATTTACCACAGTCAGAGAAGTAAAGCTGTACTTTAAGTACAGCTGATGAAAGAAAGCTGGTGCATGTTATAGTGCGGGGTAACAATGAAAAGCATATCCTGGAACAAAACAGATTACTGAAAAAGAATGTTGGCCCTTTTTCAGTTTGTTGTTTGCAGTGAACGACAGCCATGTAGGGAAAATGGAGGGTCAGTTCTGAATATTTTCCCCAGACAACTGCACATAAAATAACATCCCACCTCCAATCTTATCCGCAAAAGAAACATTCCGAGCAATAGAAAACCTAGGTCAAATAACAGCTGGTCCACCATTGAGACCATTTTCCAAGACAACGGAGGCATGGTTTTAATGGACACCTGCCTGCCTCTACTAACAATAAATAGATGTGACAAAGAGCATTTTGCAGTCAATTAATCAGAATCATGATAGATGATACATATTATAGTGTTGTTTAAATCCATTACTTGTCAGATGCTTACCATTTTGTACAAAAGAATATAATTTGGGGGTCCAGTGGCTTTAAATATATTTTCAGCCTTTTAAAAATCTACAGTGTGGAGGGCATTAATGGCTGTCTGATTGTCAGTTTAAAAGTTGGCAAAAGATGCCCATCTTCTACAATAGCACTCTCTTTGGGATTCCCTGAACTCAAAAATACATCTCACTGTGTCATTTATTAGGTACTTTGCTGGATCCCAGTGGCCTTTACGACGACGAGGTCAGTTCACCTGAAAGTTTACAAAAGTAAGTCACACACACATTTACCTGTTTTTTTTTTTTTTTCTTCTCTTGCTGACATTCATTCATTTCTGGCAGACTTTTCTGGACCTTTATCACAACAAAAAAAAACACTAATGTTCAACCTTTGACCTAATAAAAGTCTTAACTCTTCAAATTAGAGGTTTAGTTTAATATTCCCAAGATGTAATTGGTTGATAAGCTCGTTGTCAATTTTGTTAAACCAAGCGGCATTCTCTGGAGTGTTGAAAAATAATGCCAGTTTGGAAGTGCAAAATCTGGCTCCAAAGGCACTGAAGTCACATACACACCCATATTAAAATGCAAATTTTGACTGCAAAAACAACAAGATTACAGCCTGTTATCAAAAATTATTTTGTTCTGAAGAGTTTATGTATTTATCGGCAATCACTGTATAATATAACTCACCTGTTTTGTTTTCATGAAAGAAATAGTGAGCATTATTAACTCTGAGTACAAGCAGGCGTGTTGTAGCCGTTTGCCAGGAGGCTGAAGGCCCCTCCTTCTTGCCTGTTACTAAGTTTACTGAAAGTAAAGTTGAAACAGAATTTTTAAAACAGCGGCCGCCACTGTAGGCTTCAAAACTCCCCTTCAGTGACCAATGGGCGACATCACAGAGACTACGGCCATTTTTTTACACAATCTGTTAGGAATGCATGCACATTTTTTACATTTTTACATGTGAGGATTATTTCATCCGATCAATAAAAATGTCTAGCCTAGCCCTTCCCTTTACCTTGACCCAAACCAAGGATTGATTGATTGATTGATAAATCAAGAGTGATCATAGGCTTTAACAGAAAAATCAACTCAACACTGCAAAAATAAGGGATACGGCACATCAACAGTTAATATCTGTACGTATCTGTGAGTTCCACATTTATTCAGTCTATAGCCTTCAGGTATTAGTGATCCCATTTACATTTTAATTACCTTACCGCTCTATGCCTAGAAACAGTTAACCTTTGACATTTGAACCACATTCCACAATTTTTCCTCAGGTTCCTTTTTTTTTTAATTTACAAGAGAAGATAACATTATTTCTGTAATTCCCTTTAAATTCTTGTTTTATCACCTATGTCTGGACCCTGTGTGTCCTTCTGTCTAAATGTCAGTCTCCCAAGCCTTTTGACATCCCTTTGTGTCTTTTCCAGAGTGATGGAGAATGAGGAGGGGAGGAAGGAGTACTTGGTGTTTCCTCCTAGTAAAAGCCAGTGTCCAGCCAACAGTCAGAAAGGGAGAAAGATCCCACTGAAGGGCAACGGACGCAGGATTGACTACATCCTCTACAGTGATGAGCACCTGCAGCAGGACTGGAAACAGGTACTGTTTATGGGAAAATTGCTGGAAAAATTAAATAACACATACCCATCAGAAAGTGTCCCAAATTAAGATAGAAAAGTATTTTTTCTTTTAGAACATAATAAACTTTTCCACTTAAACACTTTTTTAACTAAACAAGATTTAAACAGAATAAAAAAACAGAAATCACTATCACTATAATCCTAACTGGAGAGGAAAGACACGTGGGCATTGCTGTGTCTGTGAGTCTGTGTAGAGAACTGGAAAACCAAATCACATTATTTACATAGAGCGTCTCTCCCTCTCCTTCCTTCAGTTTCTCTTTCTTTTTCTCACTCGTCACTGTTTCTCTGAAATTACAGCTACCTAATGCCCCCTTGTGTCTGAATGATGTAACTGTAACACCACTTCAAGTTATCTTACTACCTTGTGAAATGTATAAATTCCTCATAAACAACACTTTAAACCCATTGAAATGTCTCAAAATATTGTCAATACTTTTGGGGACACATACGAACATTGAGGTATCAGTATATCTGGTTTTGTCAACAGAGTAAACTGATTCCACTTTTACTTTTAGATCCCCTAAAAACAAAAATGTTTTTCAAATACTTATATTAAAATTGAACAAAATCCCACATCATACTTGTTACAGGTGTAGTAGCAGAGATGATTGAGGTCCATACAAGTTATTAAACCATAAGACCATCTAATGAAATTGATACTGTGTTCTATTATGACTTTTGCGACAGATTTGAGATCTTGCAGTTTAATGTGGACCTTCTTATGCTGTTTGGTTTTTAAAATAAAACACCCCTTGTTCCTTTTCCAATCATGTTAGACTTGCTTTCTTTAGAGAAACACTCAATAGATGTCAAGAGGAACCTGACAGGTTGGCAGACAAACCAGGGCTAAAATGCTAGTTGAAATTAAATATTGGTCCTGGTAGTGAGTAGCCTGTATGTCCAGTAACAACTGGCCATATGCATTCAGATGCATTTGATTTTATGATTGGAAAAATCCCCTTGGTTCCAACGAAGTGAACTGCCACTGTTTGGGGAATACCTTATCCTGATTAAACATGAAAACACTTCCTGCAGACAAAAACAAGTCAGTCCTTTTCCACATAATTTTTGACAATCGTGTAAGCTGCTGCCTCAGCGACAAGACAGTAAAAGTCCCCACTTCTATTTAAGCATTTAAAAGCAGGCGAGAGAATTCAAGGTTTATTACCCTGAATAAAAATTGGCCAACAACTGTAATAATAACATCTTTAATTTTTAATGGCAAAGATTTTCTAACAACTATATTGTTAAGATATATAATAACAACCCGCCTTATTCATTTTCTGTATAAACATCAGCTTCCACCTTAAGGTGCTCAAGGGATGAGCTTTATCTCCATATAACTAGATTTTAATGTGTTTAAATGTGTATTTAATATTTTGTTATATTACTGAATGCTTTAAAGAGGGACTTAAAAACATTTTTAGCATTAACGTTATAATTTTGAAGTTTTCAGTCAAACAATAATCTTTAGTCAGTTTCGTTAAACCAACGAGAAAAAAATAAAAATCACAAGAACTGGAGATTACAACATGATGATTTACTGACAGCTCTCTTTTTCGTCCTGTAGGAAGTGGAGGAGTTCAGTTTTGTCACCCAGTTGGCCGGCATCACTGACCACCTGTCTGTGGCCATGCGAATGGCCGTCAGCACCGGGGAAGAGGAGCCTTAGATTGACAACCAGAGCGTTGTTTTTAAATACTGCCATGGAAAAAAAAATGACAGAGAATGAAGAAAAGAAGCAGAGATCAAGAGTTTACCGATATGGAGCTGCTTTGAGAAGGACATAATGCAAATCTGCATGAGGATTGAAGGGACAGTGAAACGGACAAATGAATCATTGGAGGAGCGCTCAGTGGATAAATGAATATAGAGAAGGAGAAGGAGAGCAGCATCAGAGGAGTGATATGATGAGAAAAAAAACTCTTGGGAGGAAAGATAAGCAAGAGAATTGAGTTTAAACAACCAGTGAGGTATTCACCGTGATGGGTAAACAGCCCACAAACACACACAATACCTAACATACAAACAATTTACCAACATTTATAAAGTTGAATATCACCTGGCCTCTCCACTCTCCTCTTCACAAACTGTAGGTATGAACATAGAGGGTTTTATTTACAGTCATGTAGCCATTTTAAACACACTCCTTCTATTGGATTTGTTTTAGCATAGAAGTGTAAGTTAGATTTTTTTTATATATATATATATTCCTTCAGGGACAGTTGGATCCTCATTCTTTAGTGTTGAAAAAGGACCAGTAATGAAAGAATGACACATACATGCCACTGACTGGCCTTTACACTGACCTCATGTGTCCTTGTGTTGTGCTCCTTCCTGAAAGGCCATTGTTCTGCTGTCATTCAACCTTGCTACACCCATGTCAGTCCCAGGAACCTCAACAAGTGTCTTTTTTTTCTAAAGAAAATGAAATAGACTTTCTTAAAGGAGAAGAATAAAATGATACAATTTCTATTGTTGCCACACCACTTTTTCTAAGGAGTTTAAATGCCTGTTTAATACTATATGTATGTTTCTATTAATAGATATTGTATAAAGGACCATGAGATTGGAGAGAATTTGTTTGTTCAATGCAATGCTTATTGCATGTTTTCCAACCATGACTGTTCACAATTTGGACATTGTTGGTGAGGTAGAGAGAACTGAGGATTTGTTGTTGCATGATGGGATATGACACAAGTTTACAACCTTAATATAGCAGCTTAATACTCGTGCTTGCCGGAGTCTGGCTGTTTGACGAGTCAAAAAGTCTTTTGCCCTAAAAACACACACTTACTGTATGACAGTGTGACATTTGTGCATGTGAGACTTCACCGTGCTGCTGACACCGAACACACATTAAGGTATTCTGAGAAACAAAGTGAAGATTTAAACAAAGCAGGTTGATATCTAAACATTATTATCAAAGGGAATTCAGGTTATGTTTATCCCCTGGAGGCCATATTGGAAGTCCTCTAATTACAAAGTGTGACTTGGCTAAATATTGACAAATACAAAGCCTTGTGACTGGGGGTATATTGTAGCTTGTTAGCTAATGTACCATTGTAGCTAGCCTATATGGTTAGCTAGCAAACACTTTGTTGTTAGCATGTTGGATTACTGCTCTAGCTAATTAAAAAACAATCACTTTGTGGACCTGCAGGTTGTACACACTCTGTAAAATATGCCAAGCATTCCTATATTTCTGAACACATTTTGTAAAGTTCCAACTAGTCCCAAAGATTAAAACAGCCCTATTGCAACTATACAGACCTCAAGTAGTGCAATGGCTAATAAGTTTGGACACAACACGTACAACAAACACGAATAATATGTGCTTCAGAAATGTAGGTGTGCTCATCCTGAGAGCAAAAACCAAACATAAGACATGGTGCAAATTTTCATTCAGTTTTACAGCACAAAATAAGTAAAAAGAACAGCATTTGCCTATGTTATGATAATTTCAAAATAAAGCATTTTTTTTTTCAATCGTTTATGACTCCAAGTGATGAGCAAAAAACACAAAGAAGTTAAAGGGTTTGTACAAAATAACAGAAATAAACATTGTGTTTTAGGAAAGGTTCTTCACCATTATGTTGTTAGCTAGCTAAAGCTATAGCTCCAAACAGTTGCTTGTATTTGGTCTTAACAAATACAAATCTGTGCTCTACTGAATTGTCTTGGCCGACAGAGCTAACAGAAACATTTCAGGGTAGACAATTGGTAAAATTGGTGAAATCTGTTGTAACTGAAACATTTAGTGATGTTAAACTTGTTTACAAAGTGGTCCTACCTATCTGACATTTCTGCTCTACTTATTGTATGTGATGTGATGCTTTGCTAGCATCTCGGAGACTAAACCAAAATCTCCCTAACAGCGACATTCAGCCTTGAAGTATTACACAAAATATAAATAACTCCCTGACCTACTGTAATTCTTTCAACCACAGAAGCTTAATAGAGATACATAATTTCAACAAGCTAATGCAAACGTTGACTTAAATATCAGAGAGTCATGCCCTTATAAAGCCGAGTAACAAATGTCTAGCTATACACCTCCCCTTTTAGATGCTTTATCATGAATATCTGTGCTCCACAGATAAAAATCACATTAAAAAATCCTTTTCTACTGTGTATTGATACTCAACACCCAAATACACAACAGATCACAATCGTTATCTTCCTTGTTCTTGTCCACATTTAGTTTCTGGTCATTTTATTGTACTGCTAGTCCGGTCTGCCATGCCCCGTGTTATAAATAACTTATATCCTTCATAAAATCAAAACTGACGAGTTATAAAAAAGTTCACTCACTGTACAGTGTTTGCCGATAAAGAGACAAGCTATTCAGACAAAAGGTTTTTTTTTAACCAGGATGTAAACATGTTTATATCTGCTGTAAAAATTGATTATTTAAATGGGTGTGTATTAACTTCTTGGGCTTTTGCGGCCGGTGTGAAGTGGACACTCGAGGAACTGCAGTTTTTTGCACTTCCGCATTGGCGTCATTTTTCAACTCCATAGGTTGGCACTTGGTCAGAACTTAATGTCAGTTTGGTAACGTTAGCTTGAGCATTCATGTTAGGGTATGGCTGTAGCAGCAAAAGCTCTGAGGAGGTTTAATTGGCCAATTCCAGTTTTATTTCATCTTCATTCAACTTCAATTTTAATAATATATTATATTATATTAGAACGCACACATTCTAATTTCAAACATGATTTGGTTTCTAGCCATGGCCTCCTGTTTTTAACACTATGTTGTGTTAGCAGTAAGTCTAGAACAACAGACTTTGGAAACACATGGATCCTGTTAGCACACATTTTTGAGCTGCCGACATTGGACAACTTTCAAAAACGTACTGTATATTTCTTTAAAAGATGTCTGTTAAAGTCCAGAAAGCATTTGATTGCCATGGTCTGCACAGAAAACAAAGTTTACAACCATTTTTTATATCTCTTTCTTGGCACTAAAGAGAAGCTTTTCAAGAGTGAGTTTCATCAAAGATATATATATTTGGGCAGCTCATTGTGTTTTATTTGTTTCATTACATTGTTTGCTGATTGGTGTTAGCCACCAACATGCTGTGCTGCGATGTTTGGAAAGTCCAGTACAGATGAGGGTTTACAGAGGTGGTTTCAAGAGTTTGGTGTGAGTGAATACATGAAGCAAATGGGTTGTTTTGTTAGTCATGTTTAGTTTTTTACTGTCATTTTTACACACAGTATGACTCCATAGGTCACCTGGTTGTCCTGACTTGCTCTTCCTCATTGTGAGTCATCTAGGTTTTTTTTTTGACTAATATATTTCTCATTTAAATAAGGGTTGCTTCTGTGCTTTTTTACAATTCAAGCTTCAACAACTTTCATGCTTTGTTTTCTTGGGTTGAGTCAATCCATGTCAGACTCTTGAATAACCACATGTCTGATTAGTCTGAATTTCAATTGAGATTCAGTGCTCAAACTTCTATGGTAATTAAGCCATGAAAAATACACTTAAAGTTTCTCTGGGTTACTTTTCAACTGTATGTTCCTATTATAAACTGAATACTGCTGAGTAATTCATCGAGATGTGTTTAGAGACAATGGAGCATGCAGTGATACTTAAGTCATTTTTTCAGCATAAAGAAATGGGTGAGGAAAGAAGCTTATTGTGCGATTAAACAAAAAGGAGCGGAGTAATTGTGTTGGTGCTGTATTTTCATGGTGAGCCCTTAGAAGAAAGCTTTGTGATCAGTCCTTCATATTTCAGTCACTCTGTACCTAGGTGTGGAAACTAAAAGGGGAGGACTAATCTCACCAAATGGTATTTAATCTTCTTAAAGATTTGGTTAGTGGTTGTAGAGTTACAGAACATAATTAAGCCTTTTAACTGCAATAAGCCGTCTCCTGTGATACTTCACAGAAAACAAAAGGAGTTGGACAAAACAATTTGCTGAAAGGTGCTAAAATGCTCTGTAAAGTTGAGAGGAAATACAAAAGCAGCCAGACCCTCTGCTGTTGGAAAAAAGATGTGACTTTACACCTAGTATTGTCATGAAAACAATATTGATATGTTTAACTATTATTTCTGCGCAAATGATGATAAATCCATTGATACGAAGTCGATGTTAGTGGACTGTTGTTTTGAATTCTACAGTTTGGCATTTTGGCTGTCACCATCAAGTTTTCTGGTTACCATATTTGGACAAGAGCTTAAATACGCAAATAAGCCTTTATCCCGATCGACAGGTTGGCAGCAAGAATTTAGCCAAGCACTAAATTCCTGCTTTAGGACAAGTTAGGACCAGTTTACAAAATAAACATCAGACTATATTGGATAAAGACATGAAACCAGGGATTAAGACAACAAACTAATTGTAAAAATCTTACTGAAGTAGTAAAATCTTATTTACAGTGGACTTACAAATTACTTGACCTTTTTTTACAAATCCCCCTGCCTGTGATTAGAAAGAATGCAGGCTTTAGGTTTCCACTTTGGCTTTTTTTAAACTTTTGAGATTGTCTGATGATCATATTATGTGTTATGTGATGATAATGTCGACCCCAAAATAATCTATACTATCCCAAGTGCTGAATGCAAAACCCTTAACAAATATTGTGTTGATTCATATTTAGGATAACTAAACAGAGTTCAGAGAAATAAGAAATGACTCTCAAACATGAGTAACTCTCTGCTTAATATTATCAATGGATTTCAACCGATATTCAGCCAGGAGTTGTGCATTATTTTTGTGTCTATAGTCTGAAATAAGATAACCAATGGGTCAGTTGCTTACAAATGTCAATCAATTTATTTTTGGGGGGATAAGATGAGAAATCCCTGCGTCCTTATTTTCACATGGAGTTCAGGACAGATGATTCCATGGATGGTCACAGCGCAGCAACTCCAAGGGGAGCTCTTTGCTTTTGTAGCTGCATGTACTGTAATGATGCTTCAGACTTGTAGTCTTGGTAGAAGTGATGATTTCTAGTTTTATTTTCTATAATTTGTGTCTGTTCTTGTTTTTTTAATTGATTTCTATCTTTGGATGAGGGGGGAATGTTTCGCTCGCTCTGTCTCTGAACTGTGGCTGAAGGATCAAAAGCTTTTGTCTTTCTAAGCTTCCTCTACAAAACGCTTATTTTCTTCTGGTTTTTTAAAAACAAAGATGTTTTCCCTCTTTATCTGTGTCTTGTGTTGTTATTCAGGCTCTTGACATTCACTATAGCTGCAGTCAAACAAACAGACATTTGAGGCAATGTGAAAAAAATACATGCTCTGTGTCTTTTTGATGCAGTCTTATACACAACATAAATATCACTAGATCCAACTCAAGACAGGCTATTTGAAAACAAGAGGTCAATAAAGAGAGGAATGTTTAACTTTCCCTTAAAGGACACATTATGAAGAAGTGAAAGAAGCTTGTAGGAGTCCTTCTGCTTTTTGAACACAGGAAGAAGTCTCAGATTAAAAATGTTCATACGCTACCTCGTGAAGTGAAAGAAAACTCCCCCTTAACACCGAAACTAAAGTCTGAGCAGCCTCAAATGACACACACAGAGTCATTAGACTGAGAAGCTACCAAAGGGCATTGTTTAGTTTCTGAAGAATTCACTGTACATGTGAAAAAAAAACACTTTAGATGTTTGTTTTTTTTTATTTTCCAGTATCAGTATGTTGAGCCAAATCACATCTAAAGACATGTTTTTAAATCCACCAATAACTATTTCAGAGTGGACCTTCCAGAAGTAACAAACAAATATATTCAATTGTTAATCTTTCACTCAAAATTAAGGAACGTTAAATCTTTTTTGACCTGTCCTTTGCTTCTTTAGTTTTTAATACCATGTTCAAGAAAACCAACAGCTGTCCATTTCTTGATAAGATTTATTCTACGCCTGACTGCGTTTATAACATTAACAACATTAAAACAGAAGTAGAAATAGAGAACACAAGCATTACTTAGACTCTGCACACAACACTGGCTGACAAGTCTAAATCATTTCATCACATCCGCCTCCTCAGGCGGTTTAATGTTCACACTTGACTGGTCTAAATTTGGCTACAGGAGTAATATGAGTAAATGATGCTGAAAATACAGAGCAGCTGTATGACTCAGACATAGACAAAGCCTAGTAGTGTAGTACACTTCTCACTAAGCTCCCCTGTTACGATTCAGTTCACACACTTATGATGAATATTGCTGCTTTTTGTGACCACTGTACGGATTGAATTAAACATACACCCTTACTCTTGTTGTAAAAAATAACTAGTTTGCTCAGTTCAAATGAACAATTAATTTAGACTAAATTCTCAATAGCTTACTTTTCTCAGGTGAATTTTGGGGGGCTTTCCTTTATTTAAGAGACAGGACAGAGGATAGAATGAGAAACCAATGAAAAAGGGAGTGGGGAACGACATACAAGAAAGGAGCCAAAGGTCAGATTCAAACCCGTGCCTCCTGCTCTTGAGGACTTCAGCCTCTGTACGTGGGGCATGAACACTAACC